GATTAACAATTCTACATATTCCACTCTATATATACATAGCTCTTTGGAGCAACCGCATTTTTGGTAAGCCCGACAAATTCCTGGGAATAGAATGTCTCCTCTTTACCGTTGTCAAGCCTCAATGACAGCTGTGCACGCGTCCGTTTTTATTTTTCTCGCTCGCGTACGTGGGTAAAGGGAAGGGAACAAAAAAAAAAAAAAAAAAAAAAAGAGAGAAGCAAAATCGAGGACTGCTATCTGTACGGCCGCACGCTGATTTTATCCACTGGCTTTGCGTATCCGTCACGCGAGCGAGAGGGGACACAAAAGAGGGAGAGAGTAAAGAGAGGCACAGAGAGAGCACCGGGTGTCATTAATATTATCAGAACACGCGTGTCAGAAATGTTATGAATACTGTTGATATCGTGTATCGAATATCCCGACGCGCCCTGCCACCATTCGATGTAATTTCCAACACTTTATCACAAATGATATATCGCAACTACGCATTTGTACGTATACATACCACTGCACACGAGTGCCCCCCACATGCCCCCCGCATGGGAGAGAAAACACACCGGCTGCTGCAGCTTTCATCGGCGAGCCGTGCACTCTTTTTTTTTTTTTTTTTTTTTTTTTTTTTTTTATCTTTACGCGATGATCTGCTTTTGCTGCGTAGATTGCAGTCCTTGTTTTAGCACAGCAAGGATTATTACACGCCCCCCCCCCTTCTCACTCATCCCTCTCAGACATCTCTCGCTATTCATCGCTAACGAGGCTTTTTCTCTTTGTACCCTTTAACGCGACTTTAAATGCACACATTGCAAAGTAAAACTTGACAACTTTAAACGAATTTACTCATTTTCTTATCGAATTGCAGAAATGGAGGGCTCTCGTTATTATAATTTTCGACCAATTTGAGCGTTTGTGCGACATGACAATTGAAACCGTGTCATAATCGTTGCAGCCTGAATTTCCTATGAAAGGTCCAATGATAGAAATGCGACTGCTCGACTCCGTCGTCTTGAAATCAAATTACACATTCAACGTAACGCTGGTACTTATGCATTAAAATTGTAGTCTCGCATGCTGTCTTTTAATAATTCATGCTCGAAGACGAGGTAAAATTCACCTCTCGGCTGTCGCTCAAAATACGATCTGTCACGTGTTTGTTTGTACAATTGACATCTCGTTCGAGGCGAGAGAGCAGTAAAATCAATCGCGAGCTATTCCTAGCCAGGCTATTTTATCAACAGCTACAACGTGTCTTCAAGTGTCTCATCGAACCCGCGTGGCCTCCGTTTGTCCGTCCCGAGGCGCTGTAAAAAATGTATTTAATATTTCTAATCGCACCCCTGCTCGGTGATTCGTACCTCCTCCTCCTCCTCTTGCCCATTGTTCTCATGAATCGCCAACGTCACTCGATCCTTCCCAATCGTCCTTCTCGTAGCCGATGTACAATTTTCTTCCCTTCGTTTTGTCGCTGCACTTTTTATTGGCCCGCATCCTCCGAGCACTGCCGTTAAAAAATCGCTCCCGTATGCTGCACGAAGCACTGGGGGCCACGGCGCGTCAAAGGGAAACCGAGGGGGCACCATGACGAGGAGGAGGAGGAAAAAAAAAGATCCCCAGCAGCAGCGAAAAATGCCCCGACGAGCGGGTGGCACAAAACAATTTAATCAATCGATTTCCGCGCGAGAGCTCGCGGCGCTGGCGAGCGGTAATTTCCGATCGCGTTCTCCGCTGTGTTGGATGCACGTGCGTGTGCGGGGGAAAGGGAAATGGAGAAGGGAGGGCGAAAAAAAAAGGCAGAGGTGCAGTGATTGCGAGCTCCTGGCCCCATGTGCGCGCTGCTTCACAACAGACCAATCTCCGACGAGTTTGCGAGCGCGAGTTTATCATAAATAATTGCGCGGACCTCGCTCGCGTTTTAACGGCCCCTACGTGCACTGTGTGCGCGCGCGGACATGGGATGACGGCGATCGGAACGGAGGGCAAATATTAATTTAATTTAATTCAAACGAGCTCGCCGGTTCCTCCGTTGTTTACCCGCGCCCGGTGCACGCCTGCGTCAATCCCTCGCGTTTTCTTTTGCCATCAGCTAAACATTTTTTATTCTCGCGAGTCCTGCACGGGAGCGCGTGTGGCACTTTTAGCGAAACGGATATAAATGGAGCCTTCGGTGAGCTCCTGTCGATTACCGGTCACGAGAAAAGATGGGAGGGAATGGGAGCCTTTCAATTTTTCCCAATCGCCGGATCTGTCGGTCGTTCGTCTGGTGGAGAGATGAACCCCCCTTAAGCTGAAAAGGGTTAATAAAAGACACGAGAGTTCTTTCTGGATGCTGTTTTTCTCATCAGCTGTGTGTATACGTACATACATATGTATGTGGCTCACAGACAGCGTTTCGAGGGAGAAGCCGAGCAGCAAAAGCCCGCATTCTCTCCTTTTTTTTTTTTTCATCGTCACTTGTTCGCCGGCTCTGGATGTATTTATACTTTTTCCCCGCTAATAAACAACTGACGAGGCGGACGCTGTGTTTTATCGCACCAAGTGGTTGTCCATTTCGGATTTTCCAGCTTTTTCCACCAGAGCTGCGCGCACTTCTCGAACGGGTAAAAACTTAAGAGCTCGGGGATTGTCTGGCCATTCGGTTGTTCCTTATGGGGGGGTAATTTGAAAAAATTTCCAGCATGAAGGGAATTGTTCTTGGGCTGATAAAAGAGCGGTGCACCCCCCGCCGACAACAAGAGCTGCATTGTCTTTCTCGGCCAGCAGTAATTAACACAAGTGGAAAAACTGCTTGGTAATTTCTAGGTTGAGATAATTCTGACAAGATATAAAAAAAAAAAAAAAAAAAAAAAAAAAAAAAAAAAACCCAACATGGAACATAAAAGGGCTAACTAAACGACTCTTTCTCATTAATTTAAACAAAGGCGTAAATTAAATTTTCTCCAACTTTGGAGATACAGAAACCTAAATTAGTCCTTGGCTCCGTCTTCTTCATGTCAAATTGCCATTCTTTCCTTTGACTGTATTCTGGTTTAATTACTTTTTCTTGCAAATGAGATTCTAACGCTGGTGAATCACTAATGTAAGTTAGCACATGATCCAAACGAGGAGTACAAGTGATATCCTTTTGGTTCATCTAGATAGTGAGTATTTTTATTACCAGTCACCAATGCCAATATTCTTTCACAATGAATATCATTTAATAATCTTTGAGTACCAAATGGAAACCAGTAAACTTTTGTTAAGAAAAATTTCATGGAATGAATACACTAAATTATTGTGAGTCATGTAAGCAAAAAGGGTATCACTACCTCGATAAAATGCACTTAGGTAAAACAATACATTTTTATCATCAATTAGTTTGGTTTTGACATCGCCTATTCAAAGCATTGTCAATTAATTATTTCTTTTACATTATTAAACCGCTGCTCGTAAATGGTACCTACTGCTCATTTCGAAAATTTGCGATATTCCATCACCCCGAGTTAGTAACTTTTACAAAATCCCATTTTTGCGTTATTGCATAAATGATTCATGACCATCCTGATATAGGGATCAGTCACACGATGATATGATTATTCGACGGGTAATAATATACTCGATGATCCATCAGACTGAATTTTACAGTACCGACAGACATATCGATCCAAAGTGCTTTTAAACGCATTAAATATTACCGAGCATAATTCTTCTAACGCGAGCAGCAGACAATCGATATCGCATTATTTGATTTTACATTGAAAATTTGTAATTGAATTACAACCCCGTATACACATACAATCCCAATGAGTTGAAATAAGGCGTTGGCTATTGGAATGAATTTAATACCAGTCATCTGCTGGGGTCCATTTATATATGCGTACACATTGAATCACCACTATTAGCCATTATACATTAAAAGCACGCGATCGCCCATACGCGCACGAAACGCAATTATTATTAAATTAAAATCAATCCCTAAATTTATAGATCCATTTGAAATTCATCTCGTCCAGCGCGTACGCGCAAGTAATGAATAATCACGCAACATAATGCCCGCGCGGGCGTGTTACCGCGTGTTATTACGTATTGTTGCTCCATCGAATCGAAAAAGAAGAGAGCCCGCGTAAGCAGTAAAAGACGCGTGCGACGAGCAATCGAGCGAAAAGTAAAAAAAAAAAAAACAACCAACCATCGCAACTCGAGTTCATTGGCGTGACCACGACGACTCGGTCATGGGTAACGAATAACCAAAAGTATCTTTCGCCGGTCGCGCGCGAGCTAATTAATAAAATTCCTCGCGCTTGCTCGGTCGTTCGTCTCTGCGTTGCATTACAACCACCATTGGGCTGTTTTTGTGCGCCTGTACGTGAATGTGCGTGCGCGAATTCCACTGCAGAACTTCATTTTAAGCGTTTCACCGCAGGACCATTGAAACGCGGAACGCGACCGCAACTACGGTAATGCGAGGCTGTATTGTACGCGGGCAATGGCGTCTTTGTGACTTTTTCAATACATTTTCGTACAGGGTGTTGATGGTATGGACAATACAAGGGGGACTCTCCTGTAGCTATATTACTTTTTTTTTTTTTTTTTTTCATCTTTGTAATAGTGAGTATGCTGCTAACAACAAAATTTGGTTAAATAACGGCCCATAATTGGTGACACTTGAAGCTTACGTCAAGATTTATTGGGTACTCTGCTCGTTAATATTTTCCAAATGCACGTGCTGCCGTTGTATGAAAGCTCGAGAGAATTTTCATGTAAAGAAAAGGCGCGCAAAGCATCAAGGGTATAACTTTTTATGCTATCTTTTAAAGGTAGGAATTTAATATTTTATGGATAATCGTTTCATGCGGTACACCCCCCGCAGGAAATATCGAATTTCCATGTTTCCCCCCTTTGCATACGATGAACTTTACATGTTTTACAATGTGCTGTAAATATAAGATAAATACATATAAAATGTTTCAGCCAAATCTGAAAAAAAAGGATCGAGTAAATGTATTGGATGTTTTTTCTGTTGACAGACCCGCCGAGGTTCTTGGTCAAGCCGCAGTCCCAGTCGGTGAAGGCCGGTGGCATTGCGAGCTTCTTCTGCAGCGCCTCGGGCTCACCACCGCCGCAGATTCACTGGCGGAAAAACAGCAGAAAAATTAGTAAGCGTGAGTAGTTTGCTTTTTTAGACGATCAAAACCACCCTCTGGTTATATCATGTTTTTTTTTTTTTTTCCTTTAATCGCTGCATGCTTTACTTCCTGTCAATTTTCTTCCCTTTGTCAAGTCATCAAAAAACAAAAAAAGCGCCGTATTGCTAAATCATCAAAGACAATTTTTTAAAAATGAACTACACATAATGGCTTTACATACCACATGACAGCAAATCATCGTTTTTGTCATTCACTCCCGCAAAACCGACGAATCGAGTCGCTCCATTATTTTCTCACAAAAAGAAACTGTTATCACTAAAAAAAAATAAAAATGAAACAAAAAGGAACAATCCAATAACTAGTTCACGCTGCGCAGCAGCTAAATGGAACAAAGTACAAAAAAAAAAAAAAAACAGGTGGGCACGGTATCGAGGGAGGAGAGTGACGCCCGCAAGCAAAAATGCATTTTTCCGAAGCACATAAAACTCTAGTCTCCTCTTTGCTTGCCCTCCGTACTACTATGCTCTCGGGGGCGAATCGGCCAAACTTTAATTTAGCTGCATCGCTATCTGGACTTTCGTTTGCCGTGTACCAGAGCTTGCAGGCGCAAATTTCCGATCCCAAGGAAAGAGTCGGACGAACGAAACCAGTGAACCAGCGAACGCGTGAAAAAAAAAAAAAAAAATACATTTGCTGTACTAGCTAAAATGAACAAGGATCAATTATTCACCGCCAACGTTGTTCAACGTATCCGCGTCTGGCTGGATAATTTGGCTCGAGTTTCATTCCATGAAATCTCCGAGACATCCGGTCGCGCTATTTTCATCCCAGTAAACGATGACTGAGAAGGAAATCGCGAATCAAGCTAATTATGGTGCCAAGAGTATGTACGTCTAATAAGTCAAGCAACGAGTCGAAGCTGCCCCAGGAAATTGAATACAACCGTAATTTCATTGGAATTATTTTGAATCAATTGCTCGGTGAGCTGCTCCACTCTACTATGGCAAGGGGGAAAAAAAAGTTTCATATCTAAGCGTTATATCGGCAGGATTCAATAAAGAAACAAACAAGAAAAGGTCAGCTGGGAAACTATGCAATGCATTTTTCATTTCGCGACGCAGGGTGTATTTAACGCGAAAAGCCCGAGGACGCCGCCACCGCCGAGGTGAAATGTAAAGCTTGTAAAACGATGGTTTAATGTTGAACAAAGGGTACGCCGGGCAAGAGATGGTCCATCCTCCCTCCAACACACGCTTCGTTGGTATAACAGAGGCACTCTACGCCCGCGAGCGCACCGGAGAGCTTTAAAGTAGACATCGTTAAAGTAGATCGCTGTATTTGCCAATTAAAGGGTTAAATAGAGCGTCGGGGATTACCGGGCACATCCGTCGAAAAATGAAGCGCCGCTTACTACCTGCACTTCTCTCGCTCGCTTTTTTTTTTGCCCAGCTACAGCCGTAATGACGTATATCCTTCATCCGCGAATAGAAAAGCGCGGCAAAACAGGGAATATAAATTGGCGCACGAAATTGCGTTTATTTACCAGATGATGATGATGATGATATTATACCAAGTGCGCTCCTCGGGCTTTTCAGAAAACGCGATACGCGAAACGGCACTTGGTGTACAAAAAAAAAAAAAAAAGCAATCCCAAATAAACAGCTCCATTAAGATATTTTTTTTTTTTTTCTTCTTTTCAACTCGGTAGCACTCGAGAACGCAAAATTTATGAGCTTGCTGGGGCTACATCACGTAATTTTTCCCTTTTTTTTTGTTCACAGAAGCGCAAGCGCGGTTCTTCGTCCACCAGTACGACAACGGCACGCTGCTGCGGATCGAGCCAGTCAAATCGGCTCGCAATGGCGTCGAGTACGAGTGCTTCGCGGAAAACGGCGTGGGCGACGCGGTCTCCGCTACGGCGACCCTCACAGTTCACGACGGTAAGTCAAAGGAACCCTTACCCCTCGTTCTATACACGTCACGTCATTCCATTGTCAATTATATCTTTGGACTTGATACTTCGAAACACCAACGACCATTAAGTTGCCCTCGATTCTTAACTCCTACATTAATGAGCAGTCCATTGAGGAACATCGAAACAGCCATTATGGCCATTATAAGAGCCCTGGCTTGATTTTACGATACTATTTTCCATAGCTCCGTGACTCCCTCCTCCCGTAGTTGGAGTGTCCCAAATCAAAAAGTTGAACTGCGAGTGCCGGAAAGCAGCGCGTTTAATCGCCATTACCTCGGAACGGCGTCGGGAGCCGTCGAAATTAAATACATCGTTCTCCTTCCTGAGCGAGCGTCTTAACGTTACCAAGGTCGCCCTACTACCGTCGGCCAGCCGGAAAGGCGCTTAATGGAAAAGAAGTACACGGGGTGGGCTGTTTTCCCGAGAGACTTGCGCTTACCTCCCCAATTCGACAAAGTACGAGGTACGGAGTCTAGCGTGCACGTCCCACGAAATTGCTTAATCGCCTCCGTCCGGGCTCGGAATAAGGCTGCGCCTCGAAATCCTCGAATTCCTTTCTACGTCGGAGCTTCGGTATTTTTGTCTCATGAAAAAGGGCCCACAACTTGTCACTCCGATACAACGGTACAGCGTTTATCAGTACTTGTAGTTTCAATTTTTCCCACCACTCACTCCCAACTTGGAGTGGGGGAGAAAAAATAAGGCACTCGGCCATAGGAGCGTTCGCCAGCTTCGAGAACTATTCCCACGGAGGAAGTTACCGGGAGCCACGGGCACTGCGAGTCGTTTCTTAGCTCCGATATCGCTTACGGCCAAATGAAGGTGGTAGCAGGACCCGACCCCAATCCCCCTGTATACACGGTTATGGGGCATCGAGTTTATCCGGTTTACGCTGTCGTCGGCGTGACTTTGCTCCCTTACGGCCGTCTTGCGCCTCGACTCTCTCTGAGCTTCCAAGTACCTACGTAGCTCGAGGACAGTTTGGAGCTATACATTCGATTATACCACGTTCTATCCGGCTCCAACTTGTCTGTCTGACCGGTGATTGACCTCTACTACTTGTCTTTGCGACGCACTCCCCTCCGTAACGAAGAATCTCCGAGCTTTGGTAAATCCAGCAAACCATCATCGTGCAGGCAAGTATAGAGAACCACGCGAGACAAGGAGAGATATAGAATTCCAGGCGAGGCGATCCATCGGTGTCGCGCGACCGGCATTCCAGGGAAGATTCCGGAGAGCAGGTCGTATGCAGCGACGAGCTCGGAAGAGGCGCTTCATTGCCCCGTAGAAGCCCCTACTCCTCCTTCTCCCGGAGATATCATCAGCCGTAGCGGATACGGCGCCATTGGATTTGTCGCTATTGTTATGTCCTCGGCTGTAATGAAAACAAGCCCGCGACGTTGGCGCGTGACAACGAGCCGCGGTGGGGCTCTCGGAGACAATTTTCTCGTGCGGAGACACGTACACCTCGACGACGCGATTGGAAACGCGTTTGCGGTGTGGTTTGTGTGTGGAGAACGATTGGTACGTTTTTTTCCTTGTTCCTTGTATTTTTTACGCGGAACCCTCGACTTTTCGCTGGAAACTCGCTTTAACAGGTACTTCCCGAACAAGAAGACTCGTTCAATGCTCTGGGTTTATTTAATTTAAAAATACAGCTCCGTACATCCGTTCGCGAGTTCTGCAGTCGGAGCGAAAGAATTTAACGAGGAAAGCTCGAGAGGACACTTGCGGAAGAAAATTTCCCCACAGAGTGTACCAGAGGTTCATTGATTCTTGGAATCTCCCGGCTGTACGGCATCTTTTCTTCTCGACGGGGATAAGTATAATATTCACGAGGAGCGAAAAAAAACGTGCGGGTCTATGTATCGAGCTTGAATGCTTAATTAGCGAAATTTTACTCGGCGCATTGAAGACTCCTTTCTTTGGATGCCACAGGGTCTCCTCCTCTTCCTTCTTCTTCTCTTGTGGTCGTCGCTGGTGGGTACAGTCAAGAAGCTTTTTTCCATTCCTCTTTTGATGAAAATTTTGTACCTTCAATAAAAAATGTTTGTATTGAATGAGATGCCGAGAAAAAAAAAAGCAAAGGATGAAAAGAAGCGGGAAATGCATAGTAGTGGCGTCTCCGTTTGCTCGTCCGTGAATACTTCATTGGTCATTTCATGTACAGCTACGGTAGCAGTCAAACAATTATTTTTAACCGAAACTCGTGCACTATATTTAAAAGCACATTTATTTATTTTCTCGCCACATTTGCCAAGGACATTGGGCGACAAAAGCTGCGAGGCGCCGAAGCTGTCACCCGTTGAACGGGAAAAAAAACTCTCGGCGCATTTATTTCATTCTCCGATGTAACGGAGCGCCCCCAGTTATTTTTTTTTCCCCCCCGAGCCAACGCTGTAGCGGCAGAAGATAAGCGAGAGATGATCTCTTTCTCGGGGTCCGCGTCTCCATCGAACGCCGAGCCGTTAAATGCATCTGTCACTTATTGTCACGAGCAGGCGCGCGCGTTTTTTTTCCCTCCGCGCTTCTCTCGACTCACCCGAGCGGAAGGAGCTTTCTGTACCACCGTTGCGCCCCGCCAACTCACACACAACGACGTATACATATACCTATACACATGCCAGTGCGACAGCTTTTCTTATCTATTTCTTTTCATGTCGCGGAAGGCATACGTGTTCCTCCGAGCGGAGGAGAGTGAGTCAAAGAAAGCCGCTGAATGACAGGACTGTCGCGGTCGCGTCATTGTTTTGTTGGGCGCTGCTCCTTGTTCGCGTCGGGAGGGAAAAGCTGCTTTCCACGGGGTTTTTTTTTTTTTAACATGGGCATTTTTGTGCTCGTCTCGCGCGAAGATTCATCGCGTCGGATTGACGTTTCGTTGATGGTTTCTTCTGGCATTGCGTTGGATTTTCCAAAAGTGATGGACAAGAGATTCGATGAAAAAACTCCGCTCCCGTCCAATCGTTACTTGGCGCTCCATGGGGAGCGACAAATATTACATACGTGGCATTGCAACCTTTGTGACCTTATTATTATTATTTTTTTTTTTTTTTAACCAATCATTGGTGGTATGACTTTTTCTTTGATGAATGGAGTCAAAGTGTCAAACACCAGATACAAATTGTTGCAATTATNAGTACACGATATACCGGTTACCTTTTCAAAGGACGAAATAGTTGACGGTATCATCAAACAGAATTTACCCGGCTGTTCATCTGACGACGTCTCCTTAATCTACATGTACCCGGCAGGGAAGAAGAAATATAGGTCTTGTGTTGTTCAAGTTACACCTGCTGCACGTGTTCACTTGTTTAGGCGCTCACGTATCTATTTTTTTTTTAACCAATCATTGGTGGTATGACTTTTTCTTTGATGAATGGAGTCAAAGTGTCAAACACCAGATACAAATTGTTGCAATTATTTTTCAACAAATGACGAAATTTTTTCGTCTGCCAAGCTCGAGCGTAGGTGGAGGCGGATCGAAAAACAGAAGGAAAGAAAACCCCCAGCTTTCGTCCGTCAAATGACAGCGCGCGCGCAGCGAGGAAAAGGCTCGAGCGCCGGCGTTGTCATTGTGCGCGAGTTCGGAGACACGGGCCGGGAAACGGGAAATTAGAGAGGACGCTTTCCGGGACGAAATTACAAGAGCTTCGCCAGCAAGTTTGCGCGCCCCTGCGGATCAACACCCTCGATATCGTCGCCTTCTGCGCTTCGCTCCTCCACCCCTTTCGTTTTTTTTTTTTTTTTTTTTTTTTTTTTAATTTTTTTTCCAACGACAACGGCAACTTTCTCAATTAATGGAACAAGCAATTAGGCCACTCCTATTCCAAGTAAATTCGTCCCCTTCTTGCCACTCTACTTTTATTTTTTCCCCAAACACAAGTCGAGGGGGTACGGACGCAGAACGAATTTGATTTATCGGACTCTCGTTATTCGGGGAAACAAAAACAACGTCACCAACACTGAACGGAATCAAACGCCGTGGGTAGGGGTGAAAAAAAAGGGGTAACAATGAAACTTTTGTTCCGTGAGCTCATCGCGTTGATCGCCCGCTCCTCCAACTTGTCAGCCGCAAATTCTGCCGGCAAAAAAGTAAAAGGGTCCCCCCTACCCTAATGAATCAAAGTGGAAATCAACAGCGACAACTGCGCCAAGTCTACCCCCCCCTACCCCCGTGTGGCAGATTTTAGCTTCGAGCGGGAGGAGAAGGATCGAGAGAAAAGAAGAGAAAGTGGGCGGAGGCCGAGTCTCGATTAAGGACTGATCTAGAGGCGGATGCGGCCACGTTGGTCCGAAAAAGCCCGAGACAGAAGTTTTGAACTTGCCGCGGCGGAGGGGCTGAAAAAACACCCCGTGGAAACTCTTGCCGAGCTGCAGACGCTTTCGAGAGGCTGTTCCGAAGGGAGAAAAAGGACGCGCCCTCGTGTTTCTCTTCCCTCTTCTTCTTGTTCTTCCCTCGCGAGAGGAAACGTCAACTTTGCTTCTCTTGTCGGTCGTATGTGTGCGCGTGCTTGGGTGTGAGCAAAGAAAGCGATAAGGGAATCGTCAGGGGGGCGGGAGTTCGGAAGGCTCGAGGGGCTTGAATTTAATTTGCTCGAAAAAGTGGCCACCCCTTAATTACCAATTAATTGGCACATAAATTATAGCCCCGTCGTCGCCCGAGAGTCTCCCTCCTCTGTATACATACCCTCCTAATTTCCATGTTCTCCCTCTCTATCTCTCTCTTTGTCTCTCGGTGTTTGTACACGAATTATCTTTTTTCACAGACAGTATTTTACTCTTTTTCTCTTAATTTTGCCTAACTACTGGCTACGGATAGAGGAAATTTTATACCACCTACGAGATGATTGTAAACAAGAATTTACTTAACAATTAAAACGCAACAAGTGACGCGAAAGGAGTGTTTTCTTGTTTTCCATTGTTTTTTATTTTCGAGTCAGAAGTACTCGTTGAAACAATCAACGG